ACCCATTGCACACTTAGGGTCCCTACTTCAGTACTAGAATTGATTATTGACTGCTTTTAGTGGTAGTTAGGTTTTATTTATTATTATTGCACAAGTTCGGCACCTGTCATTAAGTAATAATAGTGAACAATTGAATAATGTTCACATCATGCATTGGAATGAATATAAATTCACCAAGGATGCTATGAAGTTATACCACAGGCATCTACTATTTGGCCTAAAGTTTGTCGATATTGTATTTTGGCCAATATAGATATTTAATTTGACTATACCCTTTCATCATGTATACATGAAAGAGTAGGAGTCAAAATAGGCAAGTCGACATAAGGTATTCAATAGTTATTTAGAAAGCAAAAGGTAATTATTGAATATACAGTAAGGAGTTATTATTATTGATCAAACTAGTAAAGATTGTCGGCTGAATTGTTAATGATCAAATAACTCATTTGGAACTAACTAGTTCATTTAATATTTTGCTATTATTCTCAAACTATTGTTATTGTCTAGACACTCGAGATACTTATGTTTACATGATTTTGTGTACATTGTTGTTCCTGTATAAAGTAAGGATCATGTGATCCATAAAGTTGGACCCTAAATAATTTATATGAAATTATTAATAAATTGCTTTTAAAACTCTTGATTAGGAAGTATAATACATTATAATACATGGAAGGAAGTGTTTGCCATGAAAGCATAACCTCCATTTTTCATGTATTATTATTTTCTAATTAAGCAACTCTTATATAACTGTTGAACTTGGTGAACGACAAACAAGGTTTATCGCCATTTTTAAGTAATTAGTCATTCATAAGTTATCTAACTATTTCATATGGATCAAGTGGGAGAATGAAATACTTGCCTCCTTTTGAGACAATTATTACCCATATGGTTGATTTTAAAGTGATTGATATCATAATTAATTGATTGACATTTTGTCAATAATTAATTAGCATCTCCTATTAGATAATGATTGGTGATTGTTATTGATTAATTGATTGACATTTTATCAATAATTAATTAGTATCTCCCATTTGTTAATGATTGATTGATATCTTTGTTATTGATATCTCTCATTTGGTGATTGATATTGATTAATTGATTGATATTTTGTCAATAATTAATTAGTATCTCCTATTTGTCTATGATTGATTGATATCTTTGTTAATTGATATCAATTAGTTAATCAATCAAATTAATCAATTAGTCAGAAAATATTATTTTTAATTATGAATTTTGGCAAGATTTCCTTGATGGAAGGAAACGCTAGGGATTTTTGTATTTGCTAGTAAAGGTCCCTAACCTAACCTATAATAGTCTGTGGTATTCCATCAATTGTACACTTTTGCGTTAGGCATAGATTAGAAAATTTTTATTCTAAATTCTCCTTTTACTTTTTCCTTCTTCTACACATTTTGTTTTATTAGAACAGACAAGGAGTCAAAGACATAAGAAATTGACTTGTGCTTGACAACAATGGTTAAAGATAAGTGTATTTTGATTTCCGCTGCTGCGTAGTACATTCATATGTACATTATTAGTTTAACATTACTTGCTCTAGATAGTAATCAAAATATGTCCTTTGTCTCTGAGTATCACTGCTTTAACTTTGATGGATGTCACGATTCATGATTTGCAAGTACATGTCCTTTGAATTGTTAAAGAGTTCCTGAAATAAGTAGAATGAGCTAAAGCCAAATTCAGCACATACTGTCCCACACTTGGTATTTAGCAATGGGACCTTGGTCTACTGAAAAAAACCAATTTGGCTGCGGTCTGAAATGAAAATATCCTTGGATCAAGTTCATTAACGCCAATAATTAGTCCAACCAGTAGGTCCATTATAATTCTAGCTGTACAGTTGGTTGTTTTCCCTATTGGTTTCTACTCTACAATGCGCCTATTGTCTTTCACCTATCTAATTCACGAAGGCAAGAGTTATGTGACCTGAAAACCTAAAGCAATGAACTGAAAACTGTTTTACATTCCATTCATTTGACTTTTTACGGGAAGTTAACTTTGAAAATATTAAGCTGCTGAACTGGTGTAAACTTGGTGCGCTCATCTTTTACTGTTGAAAACTGCTGAACTTTTGTTGAATACTTGAAATTTGTTCATGTTCCAGCTTGAGGTAAGGAGAATGACCAAGTAATAGTCAGGCTCTAGTGTTGATTCTCAAGCCCAATCCTTTATCCATCCCCCCTTTCTAAGGATTAAAGTCTACCTTGAAAAAAAGAAAAGAAAAAAAAGGGTTTGTGTGTACACCAATTCAATATATGACAGCAACTCTTAGTGTAATCAAAATTTGAAAGAAACTTAGCTATCGCACGCAACTATATGCAACCCTAACCAAATCCCACAGCATTTTTTTTTTTTTTTTTGAGGAGCTCATAGTTACTGACTGACCATGAAAAGCACTGGAATCATGCATTCTAAAAAATTGTTTATTTTAGGCTTAATTACATTTACCTTCCCTGAGATTTGGCCAAACTACTAAATAAACCTCGAAATTTAACCAAATAACAGTCAAACCCTTTGAATGAGCAAATGTTTATTAAAATACTCCCTGCCATCTTTCACCATTATAGATTGTGTTAACATCAGCAAAAAACTAGTATCAGGGTTCAAAAATGCCCTTGTACAAAATAAAAACAATAATAATAATAAAACCAAAACATAGTTTAATTCCTTTTATACTTGATAATTCTACCAAAAGATTAACAAAAAAAAAAAGAAATATTTCTTTTATGAGGCAAGAGAAAGGAAAAAACTTAAAGAAAGTATTTTCCACAAAGAAAAAGTAAATACTTAATATTGTCTCCTAAGAAATAAAAAATTTAGAAACAAAATACTTATAAAGAACCGGAAGTAAACAGAACAGAGCCACCACTTTCGTTCATGTTCTTCCATCATGTTCTTTTTGCTTACCAAATAACTTGTTCCAACCGAACTTTTTGAGCCCCCACTTCCTCCATTTTCTTATTTGTTTGCTCATAGATTCGATACTCAAATCCACCAGTAGAGTGTTAGCAATTTAATTGTGCATTTTATTTATGAATGCTACCTCTTAACTTTGGCCAAAATATGGTGTTAATTGCTGGATTCTACCCATATTTGGTGTTTAGGTTATTTTCAGAAATTTGCTATTAAAAGAGAGTAAAAAGTGCATTAAATTTGAAATTTCTAAAAGATAACACTCTGCATGCAGGATTTGAAACCTGAATGTCCCACGATTTGAAGTGGGCCATATTTCTACTGATCAATTGCAACAGAATCATTGTTTCTTTATGGAGATAATCTCTGCTGATTAGTTACTTTAGGGATTTGGGGCAATGACCGTTCCTGCACGGTTAAGGGCCAAGATTTACCCTCAAAATTTTGTGCGGCTGAGATTACACCATGTAACTCGATTTCCGCGCCAAGTGTGGGGCCCACCACTATCTGTTCTGAAAATACATCATGTGAAAAAAAAGTTACACGATGTACAAAGAAAGTTACGCGCAGTTGATAATGACCACAATTGCCAGGGACGGTTGCACCTGCAACCGTCCGTGCCCCGAGTCCTTACTTTAGGGACAAAATATTTGGTTTCCTTTTATTAGTACTATATTATTTAGAAGGGAAATTTGCCAAATTGGTCCATAACATTTACCAAAAACACTTTTTTAGTCCTTTACATATAAAATCAGCCAAAATGGTCCTTCACATTTAAATTGTGAGCCAATGTGGTCCTATTGCTCGTTTTTGCTCATTTCTCCGGCTAAAAATAGCACTCCTCTCTCACGTGGTCATATTTTTAGGGGCAAAACCGGAAACACATTTCATTACCTGTTAAAAGTAAAAGGTGTGGACAACTACCAAAATACACATTTCACCTTTGGCCCTCAAAGTTTCAAGAAACCTGAATTGCATCCCCGAATGGTGGCGAAAATTATTTTGTAATTCTCCTGTATAAGTGATGTGCTTGATGAATCCATAGATCTGGTTCTTGTTTACTTATATCCGAAAGTCCTAAACTTTCCATTCTAAGTGAGAGTCTAACAAGTCCAGGACATTTGTGCAACATCGATCCCACGAATCCAATTTGGGCCTTAGCTGGAACCCTAAGCCTCAGCTCCTCCGCCGCCCGCCAAAGCCGCTTACTCGTGTCCCTCCATCCTTTGCAAACCCTGGCCGCCGACAACAGTGTTGGAGGCGGGAGCCTCCTCAACACCTCCCACAGACAACTCATCGGCAGCTTCCCGGACCCGGCAAGATCCGATTCGGGGCTCCAGCTCGAGAAGCTCCTCCTCGTCCTCCTGGTGCTCTTCCTCATCCTCTCCCTCGTCTTGCGAGTCCCTCGCATCAATATCATCGTCGAAGGAGAGAGCTCGCCGGAGGTTGGAGAAATGCTGGCGATGAGGAGGGGGAGGGGGAGGACGGACAGTGGAGAGAGGAGAAGGGATAGCGGGGGAGGAGGCGGCTGAGTCAGTTGAGGGCGTGGAGGTGGGATGCAATTTAGGGTTTCTTGAAACTTTGAGGGCCAAAGGTGAAATGTGTATTTTGGTGGTTGTCCACACCTTTTACTTTTAACAGGTAATGAAATGTGTTTCCGGTTTTGCCCCTAAAAATATGACCACGTGAGAGAGGCGTGCTATTTTTAGCTGGAGAAATGAGCAAAAACGAGCAATAGGACCACATTGGCTCACAATTTAAATGTGAATGACCATTTTGGCTGATTTTATATGTAAAGGACTAAAAAAGTATTTTTGGTAAATGTTAGGGACCAATTTGGCAAATTTCCCTATTTAGAATCACATTCCAAAAAGGACTGTTATCCTTTTGGTTATAGGAATAACTTAGGTATAGCGTAGGAGAGTTGATCATGACTCGGGAGTAGTCAATTAGGAATGAACTAGGTGGTGACACCGCGCTGTGTGCGGTGGAATACATGCCCAATTAATGTTTAGCTAGTAATGTTGGTGAGAATGAAAATTAGTGAAATACTAAACAGAGTAAAATTATTTGAGTAATATAGTTTTGTTATAAATATTGAATAGTCATCCGAAAGAGGTTCTAGTTCTACAGGCATTTTAAATACGAAAATCAAACAAGTTCAATTTTAGTCTTGAATGTTTAGGTTGTTGAAGCTGAGCAGATCAACGCCTAGAAGAGCATCCAAAAAGTATGAAGTTATAATGCTGAACACAGTAGCTCGAGATAGCCTGAATGCAGCAGAGCCTAGAATCTGACAGATATCAACGCAAAGTTCCACCAAGATTCATCCGAAATTGAACAAGGCCATCAGGCAAATCAATAGCTTCTCCATCATCAATAAACATAGAATCGTTCACCTGTCCAAAAGACTCCAAATTAATCATAATCCAGACAAAAAATGAGGAAAAGAAAAGAATCTTGCAATACATGTATCTGAAAACAAAATTATTCCCACAAACTATTTTCTCAAAATGGCAATATGACCAAAAACGAACTGACATATGGACTCTTTCTCCACTGCTGGCCTATTTTCTAATCTGCAGGGAAGTGCACAAAGGATGAAAAGGTCACACATGCATTGCAACATAGCAAAGATTCTGTAACAATTACAGCAGAAGCACTAATATTTCAAGTTTTCCCTGTCCTCACTAATACGATAAACCTTCCATCATCTAACAACTTAGCCAAGGATGAACAGGCCTCTAGACTTGCTTTTAAAAGCATACACAGTGACCATGAATCTTGTAAGCAACTACCACCCCTGGAAAAAGATAAACTACTTTTACCCACTAAGATTATTCTCTAGCTCAGGTGTAACAGGTACTAATATATTATTCCAACTTATTCTTCAACTTTGAATGATCTAAGCATGTTTATACAATGTTCTCTTCAATATATTCCTTCACTGCACATACTTTAAGCATGTTTGCATAAACCAATAGAACTAAGACTTGCACAAAAATGGACAAACCAAATATCTGCATCCAACGAAAGTGGAAACAAATGAAGCAAACTTGTGCCCGCAAGAGAAGAGCATCAAGTAAAGCTAAGTGAGCAGGGAGACATACTTCTTGTATATTCTTTCTATCCCCTCCACCACTCAAATCATGCCCAAGAATGCAACCTGCAAGACTTGACCTGACATGTAAAGAGAACAAAAGGCTGAATTTGCATGAGATATAATTAATTCATAAAGTAAACTGTGAACCCAGCTTTAGCAACATCGGAGCCATCAGGAATCAGGGAACTAACACTATGGGAAAAGGCAATGATAAGAAAGATAGGAAAACAAAGAACTATTTCTACCAGAACTGCAAGATTCAGTCAGCAATTTCCCAATCTTCGCGAGGAAAAGTAGAACAACTGCACGCATAGATAAGAAATCAGAAAATTACAAGTTAACATCAAACAAGGGACATTTTGCAGTGGAATTACGTAAGTATGCACTTTGCATGCCACAAGGGAGATGTATAGTACCCTAAATCTACTGAAATAGGCTCATATGGTCAAACATCTTCAACATTCATACTCCAATGATGTAATTGTTTGCCAATCTGGTTGTTTCATCCTTAATTACTAAGACAGTTCTGATTTTCAAAAAAAGTTACAATGTTGATGAGCAGGAGAAATGCAGAGAGCTTAAGTTAGCATTTTAAGGCTAATGCATCAAATTATGACCCACACACCTCTGGCTATGATACACGCTATCTCCTTAAGCACATCATTGTCAAACGTTCAAGATCTAACCTCAACAGAGCATCCATGAGTATTACTGCCTCAGGACTTGCTTTCAAAATCAAAGATGGTGCCTAGGTACATCATATCAGAAAAAACCAGTTTAGGCCACATCAGACGAGCACTAGTACCACTCTATGATTTTATGAAATCTAAATTGGAATCAAGATTCTATAAGAAGCAAGCCATGAAGAAGGAAAACTCCTATTGAATAGAGAACTTCGAACACTTACTGTCTGACCAATTTCGGACATCAAGCAAGCAATATCAGCAATCACTTTCTCGTCTCCCGTATTAAGAGTTGGAAGAAAAAGCACTCCCTTTAGAAATCCAATTCTGCTTAACAAAGCTTGTGGCAAACCCTATGCAATAAAGGACGAGGAATTAGGATATAATACAGAAGTTCTGATTCAGGAAACTTGATTGTTTATACTCCCTAAATAAGCACGAAGAATAACTGCAGTGGAATCAAAATAGTATAGCTAAAGAATTGCAAGAACAACTCTCCCTTGTTTTGTCAGTAAGGTTGCTATGTTCCCCAATATAATAATCTCCCATGGTAAAATAAACTGATAATATTTCGTACACATGATCTTAGTTTAAACGCTGCATTTTCTAGAATCATGTAACAGCTATTATATTAGTATATATTTTTGACTCTTTTCTTTCAGCTTCACTAAAAAAGGCCTTAACCATCTTCTGACGTCTCCCATAGTGGTGTTGGCAAGAAGGTAGCAAGAAGAAATATGTTAGTCTTCTCGTGAATTTAGACATGATGGATGGATTTGTTTTGCGTACAACATTCATATAGTGCACAATGGCACTTGAAGAATTAAAAAGGAGATTCCGCACAGGAATTGAAATAATATGCCATCTAGTTCATGCAAAAATCTGTTTTTTGCATTACCAGAACTTATTTATCACAAAATAGAAATAATAAGTCAAGACTGCAAAGAACTAATATTTTCAACCAATACAAGAGGAAAGAAAAAATTCATAAAATATACTGAAAAATCATATTGAGAAAGTCAAACAGGTAATAGAAGATCAAGAAACAGCAATAAAGAAATGACAAACATAAAAACTTACGTTTTGGACAGAGCATAAAAAATGCTCTCAGTTTCAGCTGTAACAGCAATCCTAAATCTTTCAGCGTCTAACTCAGCTTGCCTGAAAAATGCCACTTATAAAATCAACCACAATAATCACAAAATAATCCAAATCCACAACTTGGTCAGAAATAAAAATAAAAAATTCGAAATACGTAATAGCAGAGTCTTCTCTGGCTTGAAGATTATTAAGATCAATAAAAACATTTCTTGAGATCAAGAGGGTCTTCACTTTGACCCAAAAAGGTAAACTCCTTGATGTAATTGGCTTTCAATAGCCTAATATTCCTGTTTGGCCCTGACCCTAAATGTATTCCTTCTTGTATTTCTCAAATCCAAAGTTAAAGAATTTCAAAACCCACAAGAAAAATTACCAATTCATAATAAATACTGTAAATGCATGCGAAAATACTGAGAAGAAAAAATGAAACTTTTTAAAGGAAAATCTTGATAAAACAGGAGTAGAAGGATATTAAGAACAAGTATGTTGGATGAGCGGTCAAAGGTCAAGACTTGGCCTTGAAATTCTTCTCCAATAGGGGTCTTGATGGAGAATATGCATCCTATTGTGAAATCTTTGTTACTGTTATGAGCTTCCATGGATTTAGGCTTATCTTCTTTTCGGCTTGTATTTCAGCTGATTTGAGGTTTTGTAATGGAGCACCAGTTTCTGAAGAGGAGAGACAGAAGAGAGGGAAAAAAATGAGGGAGCTCAAAAGATAAGACTAAACCTATCGCCTAAAAGAAAATTCGTGTAGTGTGGAAACTGGAAAGGAAGGGAAAAAAAAAGGAAAAGAAAATGAATGACAAAGAAGATAAACCACAATCGGTGCTCTACAAAGGTACAACCAATCCCTCTTAGCATCCGAAAGATATAAAAATAGAAATCGCGCAGGTATTTCTCTGCGAGTAGGCGGAAGGCAGTATAAAGTCGCACACAAAGGATCACAAGAATACACATTGCAAAGCATCTAACCCAACAGAACAAAGGAAGAAGGAAATGGAGAAGTAACCGACAACAATAACAACAAGAACAGAAAAAGCACAATAGGCCGATGCGAAAGGAAGCAGAAAGGAAATTACCTGAAGTAATAGGCAGAGGAAAGCAGAAAGGACAAGCTAGAGGATCCAGCTGAAACGGGGCTGCATAAGTAATAGGAGACGAAAATAAAAAAGATGTGGAAAAGAAACCGCATGAAAGACTAAGAAGCAGCTGCACAAAGGCACAAGCAACAGTAAGTAAATTATGGTAAGCTAAAGCAAAAAATAGTGTAAAAGCAACATATAAAAGGCATTTGGGGAAAATTATAGAAAATAAAAGATCAATTAAGAAAGGGAAATGCAAGGCAAAAGCCGGAGATCAGAGGGCGGGTCAAAGGAGGAAAGGGGAGGGAAATGAAAAAAGGAGATAAAAGCAGCAGGAGAGGTTACCTGGCGCAGTGAAACGGGCAAGGAGGAGCAGCAGCAGCAATAGCAAAACAGGAACGAAAGAGCAAATGGCCGATTGTGGGGAGAGGCAAGGAGAAGAAACAACATGGTTCGTGATGGCAGCCACCTAAACGGTCAGCAGGCAAGAGGAGACAGTAGGCGGAGAAGACGTGAAAGGGGGCGAAAGGCACAGTAAGTTCCGAAGGGGAGTAGCTGCAGAGTGGGGGGAGAGAGGGGAAAAGATGCGTGGACAAAGCAATATAGTACCAAAAAGAAGGAGAAGAGAAGACAGAGGATGAAAGGGAAAGAAGAGCAATTTGTGGTGGAGAAAAACACTGACGGGCTCAACCTAACAGATGCAGAAAAGTACAGTGCAGTCAAACAGGACTAACGAAAGACGGGGAGAGTGCAGAAGGAGGGAAAATTTCGAGTGGGTGGAGCCGGTAGAAAGGAGACTGACGAAGTGACAGAGAGGTGGCTGACAAGCTCAACCAAACCGGCTGCAGAGCAGGGGAAAACAGTGCCAACGAAAGAGACAGAAGCAGGACCACACCGAGAGGAAGGATCAGGTGCAACGACTACAGCTGCCAACCAATCAACCAACGCCATGTCACCAGGGAGCCAATCCCCTCTCGCCACGCGGAGGACGACCACGTCCAACGTGGATCCCGTGGCTCCGCCCTTAGTCTATATGGTTAATATAGCCAAAGAGGAGAATACGATCCTCAGGCCTTTTGTTTTTTCTTTCGTTGAAACAAAATTTTCCATTATTCCTTTTCTTTTCTTTTCTTTTCTCTTTAATTAAAAAATACTAAAAATATCTTTAGCTACGATTCCATTACAATGAATGGCTAATTTTCTGTTGTAGTTAGAGGATTATCAAAGTTTTGGTTCATCGATTACTGTGAAATCTAATTTAATTGATTTGTTTCATTTATTTATGAGTAATTTAATCCTATAAAACCTTTTCTTACTCTTAAAATGAAGAATACTTTTATAAATTGATAGGTATCGAGTTACATACTAATTCTAAGGGTATCATTTTCATGGATAAATGCTCTATGTGGCTTCAGTGTAAATTTTAAATTTAGTCATTTATTGAGATTCATGTTGTGCAATGCCATCAGTGCGACATTGCCAACTTGAAAGCCTTTCAACATTTAGAACGATATTGTTCAGAAATAAGTGTAATAAGGCCATAGAATTATATTCTTAGTAAATTTCTTATACCTATTAAATTTCATTACTTTATAATGATTTTGTACATTTAAATATGACATTTATTTTAAGTTTTGTGCATGAACGTGGTTCAATATTCACTCAACTTAACAGCAAAAAAATATCTCAATAGATATCTCAAAACAAACATAGCAATTTAAAAGCATGAAAAGACTTCATGATTCATGTTTCATCCTCAAGCAGCTCAGCATCCTTTTTGTTATGCAGGCTGAACACAAGCATAATGGTCATCACGCCAATTAAAAGGATTGACTTCGGCCGTTTTCGATCAATTGCGTTGGTAGGATATAGATTTCTTTGTTTGTCGAAATAATTTGTGACATGCACGGGGAATACATATACAATTAGTTCATCTACAGTCAAATTTTACATTTATAACATTCTAAATACCCCACACATGATTTTTCTGCAAGTATACAGGTGATGAGCGAGTATAGGGTATTAAGAGTCGAACCCACAGAGAAGATTTTCAATTACCGGTGATTTTCGAACTTCTTTATTATCTAGACTATCATAGATGTAAAAGTAATGAAAATAATAATAGAAAGCTCCTAGAGGTATGGAATTCCTTACTATTCTTGCAAATGAAGTTACCGGTTAAGTAAATGCTATTATCTTGGCTAGTTATGGTGTAATTTCTTAATTTATGTGAAACATACTCTCGTAGTGAATCAACTATACTTATAGCTAAACCATACATACTCTTGTGGTTATGAATTAACTACAAGCTCATTTCTTCTATGAAATTACATGAAATAAGTCACTAAAACCACAAAGGTGCATCTCTACTCTCGTGAGCGTACTCCCTAGGTTTATCACTTCCTTGAACTAGTATTAAATTTCAATTTTCATTGCAAACTTAACACCTTTAGATAATCATAACTAATGGTCGGTTAATCATGATTAGAAAAGCAAAAGTGATAAATAACTTGCTTAAAATAATATCATCAAATAACCAAGTAAATATCACAAACAAGATATAGAAAGTTCATCCATAACTCTAAACATAAACTTTAAATAAACATGATAAAAACACAAAGCCAAACTTGTATTATAGCTAAATATGAAATCAAATACAAGAGAGAAAGTAGTAGAAGAGATATCACCCTTGTCACATGAGATCAACCTCTCCATCTTTGCTCCTCAATTTTCATCCAAATCTAACTATAAATATAAGAAGGACAAACTACACTAACTATTCTATACTACCCTAACTAATGAACTAAGAAAATTCTAGTGAAAACTACATTTTTGGTGAGTTTCTCTAACCTTCCAAAGTTGTGAAAATGTTCTCCAAGGCCTCTATTTATAGAGGAATTCAAGCTCAAGGTGAGCTGTTGAGGTTGATGTAAATTGCTCCTTGGAATCACCAAAAGATACTTCTTGAATTCTCTATACTTGCTTGCTCAGTTCTAGCCGGATTTCTTGCAGATAAATTGGTCAAAAATCTTGTGTGAACAGAGTACAAGTTGCAGAGCCGCAATTGGAGATCTGAGGGCAAGATCCGAGGTCGGATCGCTCAAAATACCCCTCGAATCTCATTTTTCTTCATTTTTATCTTCACTGCACATTAGGATCCGAGGCCTAGAACATGGGGATCCGAGCTCAGATCCTCCCCTCGGATGTAGCCTCTGATTACAGAAGTTTATCCGAGGTCGGGTTTAGTACAGATCTGAACTCGAATTTACTTGCTCTGTGTTTTTCCAACTTCCACTGATCTTTTCTTGATAATGGAGGCTGAACTAGTTCTTGTGCAAAATATGAAAGTTGTAGCTCTTTGAGTTCGCTTTTCAATGCATCAAGAATCATCCAATTTGAAGCTTTGTGAACTAAAAAATGATCAAAAAACCCTCAACTGGTCAGAACTCTTTTTCAGCTTTCGACCATCAAAATGCACTTCTGTATTTCGACTTTTTGATAATGAAAACGACTGAACTGGATTTCGATGTTTTCATACCAAATATAGATCTATCTCTTAGCTTCAAAATGGTATAAGAATCATCTCAATCCGATACTTGTACTCAAGATATTGTCAAAATACCATAAGGTATTGAAGCTGTGAAACTTGCTTCCTTTTGTTCTTGCTTGCATTTCCTCTTTTGCATTTCATGTCTTCTTTAAACTACTTCAAATCATCATCAATCATCCAAATATCTTCTCAAATCACTCTATTTGATGATTGAATCCTTAAACCTATAAAAACATGAAGTTTTTACGATAAAAATCCATAGAAATGCAATTTTACTACTTAAACTACAAAATGTATATTTTCATTTGAAACCTAGTTCATTAGCTATAAACATGACTAAACACACCAAAACTAAATAATAAAACACACTTAAAACACTCAAAATATGCACTTATCAATTTGGACACCAAGGATGGGATTTGGACACTAATGTTAATAGAAGTTTTGCCAAACTGGAATAAGCATGTGGAGGGTTTAAAGCAGGAAAGTTTTGAGAACATGTAACAATTTTCTATTCAGTAGTTGATTCACAAAAAATCATTTCTATTATTTAAGGACTAACTAAATTCTTCTCCTTGAAGCTTTCAATGGTATCCTTTAGGCTGACATCCAATGGAATCAATTCCATTCCCAAGCTTTTAACTTTCTTGTTTGATACTCCATAGTCTGGGTGTAGGGAATTGCCACTGGTAGAACACCTAAGGAAAAAGAGGAGAGGTGAATACATATATACTCATCAAATTTAACTCTTCAAAAATGAGGGGGGCATTTGCTATATGATGCATATGTAATCAATGTTCACTACTTTGTTCCTTGTTGATATTCAAATCAACATGATGCTACCAATTTCTAACTGCATAACTGTCCAGTAAACACATGACTGTGGCCTATATATCTGGCCTTTGCCCAAGAAATTTAGCCTAGAAACAAGTTGAGAGGCTCAGAAGTTAGTCTGGAAGGTGGAACTCATAGAAGGAAGAAGAGATGACACTTCCAAGCTGAATTCACTAATTTGAACCGACTCTTTTAACCCTGCGAAATCTTTTGGCATTGCAGGTTGAATTTCTTCCAGATTGGGCATCTTACAGAACAGAAGCCTCTCACAGGAACTTTTTTCCTACCAGAACCAGAATCTATCCTGGCTTGGCTCCAAGACCAAGCATCATCACGCCATTTTGCCTAGTCCATAATACCTACCAAAATATATTGAAACAATATGCCAAATATTTTGGTTCAGTATTATCAGAAAGCATCTAGTTGTTGGATAAGTGAATTCATTTCTATGAAGAGGTATATCTTTCCTGCTTTGCATTGAAAGAATTCTGTAATAGACCTTTCTAACTTAATATGTTAAAACCTTTCTGTGAGTAATTGGAAAACCAAAATGCTGATTTGGTCATAGTAACTTGAAAGAGTCAAATTTGAAGTACAATATCAAGAGATAAACATTTTGTTTTGGTACTTTATTTTTCACTATTCCTGTAGCAAAAAGAATGCCGGATTCTGCTCCTATTTGAAATTCTGCATGCTGGCTTGGGGAGCTGATCAACTCCTGTCTGATTCACAGTTGAATCAGCTTAAGCAACTGAACTAATGGATTCTTCTACGACTACATTACCTCTATTCTAAGTGTCTTTCCATCCAATGAAACAGAAAGATATACCTGTAAAATTTACAGATTCTATATTGATGGCAAACGGCAAAACCATATCAAATTAATTATTTCATCCAGAAGTATGGAGGATCCAAGTGATAGTAGAAAAATTTTTAGTTGATCATGCAGAAAGTTGTTACAATTACATATTTTCTTGGACCTCAACTCATGAAAAAACCTTATTGCAAGAAGAAATCAAAGAAAGCGGCTTGTTTATGAGAAGATGATGCTTAACAACATAGAATATGCTTTTAATCAGGTTCAAAGGAGATGTCATGACATATGACATAATTTGGCATGGAATTAGTTGAAGCTATACATACATATCTGGTAAGTGGAAAGTAGGGTAAAGTTCTCGCAGAAGTTTGATGAGCTGAGAGATGTGAGCAGATCTCTCAATTATACAATATCTTCCTCTGGCAGAAGGTATTTCAAAGGCTATAATGTGTGCATAGGCTACATCTCTAACATCAACCCATCCAAAAGGTGCACCCTTGATCGAATCAGCTCCTGCATTGAAAAATTCAATGAATAATATGATCAACCTGTAATCACTAACATATCTTGCAAGTGTTTTTGAAGGAACTATTAGCCAATATTGAGAGAGAAAAATATCCAAATCTAGAAGCTAGTGCAGCCTTTTAGTCGAAATGGAGATTTACATTGAGAATTGCATATCTTTTTCTACTTTCTTGGTATACCAATAGCTATTAAAGAAAGTGATTCTTGGCAGGTCAATAAGCTAGTAAGGCAGGTCATTAACCACTTGAAACAACTGTTGGACTCAAAAGTTGCATAACTGATTTAGTCATTTGGATGCAATTTTACTAACTCAATTAAGTAATACATGCTAAAAATGTCCTCAAGTCCTTTGCTTTTATTCAATTTTCCAACAGTCTGTCTACTTTCATAAGAAAAGCCATTTACTAGGCAGGCCAGGCTAAGAAATCAACGTGATTGTGAATATGCAGGTTTCTCTGGATGATACGTGTTCAAAGTTCAAACAGACAGGTAATAGAATGAAGTTGAAAAATTTATTGCTTCCTTCCCGCCATATGTGATAGTAAATCAACCAAAATATATATATATATATATAGAGAGAGAGAGAGAGAGAGAGAGAGAGAGAGATTTGTCATCTGTTCTTGCAAAAGGTAAAAGTTAAGGAGAGTCATCAATAATAGGAACATGAGTAATTGAATGAGCTGATTAGAAACGGAACTTTCCAGCATGTAAAAAGGCCACAAATAACAAGTACTGTGGTGGAATACTAACAGGTAGACTTCTGCAGTGTGATTGGTTATAATATCTAGGCAAAATACTCTGCAGTGTGATTGGTTATACTATCTAGGCAAAAAACTATGGGATTCATGATAACTTTTCCGTCCGGGCAATAGGATGTCTTTCAACTGATAAAACTGAGATTCAAACATAAATTACACAAGTAAAAATAGTTAGGAATTACACAACTTTTCATGATACTTCAGGGAGGAAACATAGTTTGGAATATTACTCAAATATTTTTCTCTGTGTATTTGACTTAAAATGCAAATTTCGCAGCAAAAAAGGTGCTATCATAGATGAAACCAAAAGAAAACCTTTGCTTTCTTGTATTATATGTGCCTTCACTTGTATTTATGTACCTTTGCTTTAGATTACCCAAATGCAACCAGAGAAAACCTGAAATGAGATGGAATATGATGGGCAAGAATGCATATATTTGTTAGGAGATTGTTTTGTTGAATGAATAGGCTCTAAATATTAGTAGAGTTACATAAGAATTACTTGCTTGTACTACTTTGCGAAGAACAAACTTCAAATGGCCAGGAAGCCTCTAACTGAAAAACATAAATACACATCAGATAGAGCATGATTAACTAAAGATCTTAAAGGTTTCCAGAAGTACCATTTACTAGGTTCAGGATTATTCCTACACTTTGACTGGCAAAAGGCTGCAGGATAGGACCAATAACCATTCCTGGATTAATCACAATCATGTCAATTCCATGCTCTTTTGTGAATTGCCATGCAGCATTCTCTGCCAAAATTTTTGAAAGTACATACCACATCTGAAAAGACCAAAAGGTTTGTCAGTTATCCTTGTATAAGGTATTTCTTCAAGGACAATACAAAAGCATGTTTTGAAAACAAAAGAACTCTGAAAAACCTCCTGTCTCATTCCAAGTTTTGTCCAACATTTGAGATCAAGAGTTGTTGGCCTAGTCCATGACTGGTGCGGCTAAAGTTGGCGTTAAGAGTATGTAGGCTGGTGGTGGGGCAACTCTAGGCATGTTATATAGGGCAATCTTAGGGATGGCATGTCTTTAATGGTGCGTGATCACGATATCCAGGAACTACTTAGCACTGGACATCTCAGAATCATTTCAGTGACACATAACGCCATTATTGAATTGCAACTACCAATTCACCTTAAGCATTATAAGTCCCCAGTTCAAGTCAAAAGATTGGGGTATTGCGATTCCTAGATTTTTACCCCTGTCCTTGGTTAAAATTAACACTTTCTGCACTGCCTTCCAGGTATAATGAAACCTAAAGGTTAGACATATCTAGACAGGCTATGATTTAGACACAACTAGTTTTCGTCAATTTCTCAAGAATAGTGTTCAACCTCCTTTGGAGAAAGCTTATCTACATAACTTTATTTGAATATATTCTACAAAAAAATACAAAATATCAGCATAACACTTGTTAAGCACAATTTTTTTGCGTCTCAATCTTATAGGTACTGTTTCAATTTTAAGGCCATATCATCAATCATTGTGACTGGAAAGCTTCCCGTTATGTGAGGTGCATAATAGTGTGTCCTAATATCCTTACATACATGAAGTGTCCATATGAACTCTTTTCAATTACTAGTAACTTTCTTCTAGTTCTTCGAGATTTGGCTAGCACTATCCTGTTGTGATTCTCTGAAAACTCAGCACTTTGCTATAGGAAGTAATTGGGCTTTTATGGTGCAAGCCTAACATTTGATACTAACATTTCAGTTGCAGTTACTTGATTTCTTCTGAATAAGTTAGACCGTCTGTCACGTTAAATTCATCTTAAAATTGCATACTGTTGCTCTATGCCTGTTTTGATTGCCTGCCATCAGCCTTGTGATTTTTTGGTGATGTCAAATAGTCATCCTTGGAAACACAGGCAATATTTGTTCTCTATTTTCTAGACAAACTATCAAATCGTCTTTCTCTTGATGCTTTCATACATCATTAACTCTACTGATCAAAACCATTATAATTGTTGCTTAGACGCACGCACACACCAAAACAAAAAAAGGCAGAGAAATTGGATTGTGGTATGATTTGGAAAACATGAACAACAATGGCATTCTTTTTCCTACAAAAGTATCATCAGGATCAATCTACTCTCGGCTTCTGTTGGGTTAACAAATGAAACAAAACAAATACTTCATCAGGAGTTTATCTTGAAAAAAGAATATGGTAAATGCACCTTGTGCTCTTCACAGTATGACGGGTCTGAAAACCAACTCTCATCAACTACCACACCATCCTTTAATTCTGGGTTGTTTGCAACGGCAGCCATAGAAGATGTTAATACTACTCTTTTGATACATGAAACTCTTGCACAAGAGCGCAGCACATTTAGTGTTCCCTTTACTGCAGGGTCCAATAGCTCTGCCTAAGAATCGAAGCAGAAAGAAGAAGTCAGGCATTGGAGAAACTATATACATAAGCTCCATCCATGCTTCATGACAAAAGTTATCATTTAAGTACTCTAATTCTAACTAGTAATGGATTTTTAGTACATATGCCTTTCAGTATACAGCTCCATTTCAATGTTTATTCATCACGTGGATCATCTTAAGTACCAAAAGAACCAACATTGGGAAACTAGAGAAATATGTATGGCAGTCGTACAAATATAGGTTCTTGAACACCTTAGATCAACTATCAACACTGCTAAAAAAGAGAAAGTTCATGCTCCCTGAGATCTTAAAAGATGGAAAAGTCTAGCAAATCTGATTACTATTTTATAGCACTGAATAACTCCTGTAATTGCAATATGTTCTTTGAATTGCAAGCTGGGAGCTAAAATGCTTCTAAATTTCAACTGGCAAGAGGTATAGATCACATTTGTTCGACTTATATACTCAACAGATGAAACTTCACAACACTTCATTGTCTTTGCTAATGAATTCTGGAAGTAGTATGAAATGTTCCAAGATATGAAGAAATTATCTTCAACATTTTTGCCTATCTGCATTATTTATCTCTTACCTTCAGAACAAAAAATCAATTAGAAGGTCCTTGTGCACTATAAAGACATTGAACTGAAAATATTGAAATTTAACTTGTTTATCTTTTATTGTTTCAGTAGACTAACTCATGCACTCAATACGAGTATTATAAGGTTGCTCAGATCAAACGTCAGAGGATTGTATTATGTCGTAAAATTTGCTAAATCATCCATAATGACCTCAAGCAGCAGAGCCATGAGCCATCCACTTGAAGAAATAACTAAAATGAGTAAATATGTCTCTCACAAACTCATAGAGCAAAAGTACTCGAAATTTTTGTTGACTTATGGTCTTTCTCCAAGCGGTCAGAAGGTCAATGTACCTCAGGGTTGCTGACAGAAAGCAGAACAGGAGATGCTGTGTGAAATACGCCTTCACAGCCATCAACTAGAGCACTGAAGGATCCATTTTCTAGTAAGTCTGCCTGAAACAAGTGAAGTCTTTCCTTGGCTCCATCAAGTGCCATCAAGAATTCTGTCTTATTTGGATCATCTGTGGCATGAATACAAGCCAGTATCATGTTTTTAGCACAAAAATACTCAAGGCAAACCAAATTTGTGATTAAAAGGATAACATAGTTCTAATGAACCGAAAAGTATGATGTTAGCGTGTTATATAACATTGAAAAGAGGAAAGAAACAAAAGATGGTAGGGAGTGACAGTATGCAGGTACAATCGATTCTTGTGCTCTCTAAAGTGCAAAACTTCTTTTTGGCAAATTATGTTTCCTCAAACTCTGTTTTGCAATTTGACAATGGATTCTAGTAGCATCACAGATACTGTAACTTTGAAAATCATCAACATTTTTTAAACGGAATGATCACAAAAGTCAATGTGCATCTGATGTTGATTTATAATGAAGTAAAAGTTAGCAGCATAATTGGACAGTAGTAAAATGCCACAATCATCCAGCATATAGCAAGCCAATCACCTCTCCACCACTAGGTCATCTCCTCAGAACCAGCTTATACAATGCAGGGCAGGGATCACTATACATGTAGAAACTAGCATCTCCTAGAGAAGATCATAATATTATGTGAAATTCAAATAAAGATGTTATATTAACTGAACAAATTTGAAGATAATAAAAGATATGGGGTAAACTTTTCGTTGTTTTGATTGCTCGCATCCAAATCCTGAAGCTTTCAAGAAGAGAATTTGGCATAGCTGAAGTTAAATACAAATCAATTTCAAGTTATAAAAGAACTTTCATCACCATTTTTATGTCAAAAGAAGTTTCCCCGGAATAAATTTTGGAATTAATTCATCTATCTCATCCTTTTATCCTTCTGTATAATATATAACAAATACAAATAAAACCAACAAAATTAGATAGCTTTTAACTTTTAAGGTGCCTGCCAATGCCCAGTCTAAAACATGATTTTGCACATAAAGACAACTATCTTGAATCCATCTAACTAGTTATGTCTCATAGTGATGACCAGAGTTGAACTCACTCAAACTTTTCTTATAAAAAAAATAACCATTTAAACTACTTAGCACAATCGGAAATGATACCCTACATATTATAGGTTTAATGTCTAGTTTAAGTTTGTGCTGGATAGGGACGTGACAATGGAAAAATTTTCCATGAAATGGTGACGTTGCACCTATGAAGACTGAATACTATTAAATAAATCAGTGTAACACAAATAAGGGTCTCACAAGTTGAGTTCTCTCCATTTAGATCAATTTGTGTAATTTTTATAATATTTGGTGTAAATTTGTATAGTTTTGATGTAATCACTAACTACGTAGCTTGAGTTGACAAATTCAAATTTACAATTAAACTGTATGAGTTATATAAAAAAAAATTGCAAGAATTACGTGAGTTAGTTTAAATTGGACAAAACTAAATTTGTGGGGACCTGATCCGTGTGACACATAGTACTTGAGTGACAACATAACATACAAAACAGAATAATGAACTCTAATCCGTCGCTAAATTGCAAGTTTCCTATTCAAAATGACCTTTTATGTATTGCATGACATGGCACAATGTTGTCTTAAATGTAAGGGTAAATTACATTTTATCCCCCTATGGTTTAGTATTTTTTTGTACATAACCTTCTTATATATGGTTTCAAAAACTATACATAACCCCCTCATAATTTGGATTAAAGTATCAAAATAATGGAAATAATCATACGTATGCGTGTGTGTATATATATATCTATATATATATAGCACTTTCCTTCAAAAGACTAATAATACATAAAATTATATAAAATCATATTTATCCTAAATTATGTATTATTTCTCAACAATCGAATTAAGCCAATTTGTCAAACTCAAATTCAAGCTTGAGTTCAGCTAGGCTCATTTAGTTTAACGCATTCAAACTTCAATATTTAACAAATTAAACTCTTGAACAACACTTACAGTTCATATAACAGATAATATAAGAAAACAGTCTAAATATCAAATATTGTACTCACCTCGATTCAACTTATTTAAAAGCGCTATATCCACAAATTTGAAATACCTCTATTTTGTAGGACATAGTGCCACCCAATATGCGACGTAGTACCCAAAACCGGTTGAAGCTTTTCCTTGTAAGGTTATGATTAATGTAGGGAACAAGACCTTTGTACAAACACATGCAAAACAGGAATAATCTACAACTATAAACACATTACAATTAGCAACTTTCAAGATGGCTTATATGGAGTTTTGAATGACGTACTAAGATCACGAACAGAAGCTTTGACAGTATAACCGCGGTCTAGAAGCAGCTTCACCAGCCATGAAGCTATGTAACCCGAAGCTCCGGTCACACACACCACTTTCCCAGCTCCACTCATCTCCCCTTGGACCCCGTTTGCTTGTGTCTTAAGTATGTTAGCTTGACTACAGAAGAATTCATATACTTTAATGGACGAAGAAAGTAGTGGTTGTTGAAGTTTCAGCAAAGGACAAAGCGTTGTTTTAACTCCACCTCTTCTTTCCAAGATGGGATTAGATTTTTCAATTTAATCATAATCAGTCGAGACTTTTTGGTAGTATTTAGTGTCTGATCACGACTTTTTTTTATTTTTTTTTGGTGTATAAGCGGGAGGTTTCTGATAACGACGCAAGTCATAAATTCTTTGATGTTCTTAAATATATGTGAGAATATTTCTTAGGGCAAATTCTACTTTACTCCCATGTGGTTTAGTTTTTTTTACATAACCCTCATATGGTTTCAAAAACTATACATAACCCACTCATGGTTTGGATTAAAGTGTCAAAGTGATGAAAATAATCATTCTTAACGGAATCACCTAAAATGTCAAAAATATTTTTATGTAAAGTTGAAAATTATTTATTAACCAATGGGAGTTATATGTATATTTTGAAAACTATAAGGGGGTTATATGGTAAAATATAAAAATTATACGGGGTTAGTGTGTCATATATTTATAAGGGTAATTTCGACATTTTTAGAAGTTCCGTTACGAATGACTATTTCTGTCACTTTGACACTTTAATCCAAACCATGAGGGGGTTATATATAACTTTTGAAACCATATGGAGGTTATGGAAAAAAAATGCTAAACCACAGGGGGGTAAAATGTAATTTACCCTATTTCTTATTGAAATTCTTTTTTTTAAGGAAATATTCCATCAATAATAAGTAGACTAAATGATTGGTTTTGAACAATAGATGCCTTCCACATTCAATTAGAACAAGAAGCAATACCCTTTAAATTAAATGGTAATTCCAAAAATGCGCACTTCTATATCAAAAAAAATGTATTCACAAAAATATATGGAAAGAGAATGAATATTGGATAGCTTTAAAAGCTTTTTTTCTTAAGAAAATCTCTTTCTACTGGGAATTCAAAAGGTTTTCGTATAGCAAACAAATAAATAAGTGATAAAAGTTTGAGATAATTTTGAAATGACTTTTTTCTTAATTGGCTTTGGGAAAGTTCAAACTGACAAGAACTAACCTTTAATAATTTGTTTGGCTAGGTGATTATTTGGAAAAGAAATTTGAGAACATATTTTCTGTTATTTTTTTATCATTCCAATCATCTTTTTGTCTTACGCACATTATATCACTAAAAAAAAAAGAGAAATTGTGACAATATAATATCAAATATGTTTCCAAATTGTTGGATAACTTATCCTCTGGAAAATTTTTTGTTGCATTACAAACACATTTTTACAATTATTTTTTAATCTTTCTAACTATCTTTTTTATCTCACTTGCATTAAATCACAAAAAATATTACAATATTATTCTAACAATTTTTTTCAAAATAATCTTCCATCCAAACACACGCCGCATACCATTAATCTCTGAATCAAACGCTTGCTAATTTATTGCTTTTTTAATTAGGAATAATTAGAACCCCATAGAGCCCTGAATCATTTGATTAGCACATTCCCACCCTAACGAGTCCTCAATAAATAAATTAAGTATTGAACACATTTTAAACTTCAGCAGGCTCATGTGGTTTAATGTAGTGCTAATAATCCTCAATTTTTTTCTAACAGGAGAAAGGCGCAAATTAAGAAGTGAGGAGGGGGAGGGGAGGGGGAATCTAAACTCGGACTTTTAATTCTTAAGAGTCGTAACTTTAGCCATTGGATTAAGCCTTCATTGGCATAGCCCTCCTATGGTTTCATATTGCTACAATAAAAGTTCGATCAGTCCAATAAAAATACCACAGACAATTATTAACTAGAATAAAAGTGCACCAGTCACATAGTTTTAAGAGTTTACTCTCACACAAGAGAATGAAAAGTTGGAAAATGTATATTTTCCAATCTCAATCTGCTCTAAGAATTTTGTTCAGAAGTTAACCAAGTTCTTCTCTTTGAAGCTTTCGATAGTATCCTTGAGGCAAACGTCGAAAGGAATGAACTCAATCCCCAAACTCTTTGCTTTCTCATTTGATATTTCGTAGTTTGGCTCAACCATAGGAGTACTAGTAGAACACCTGCAACAGGTCAAAACAATTAGAAACAAACTTTTAGAAATGAAAATGCTTATATTCAATTAAAGCTGTGTAACATTAGAAAGGTCGATTTTGCATTTTGATGGACTAGAATTCAAATAAGACGATGCTGATCTGTGACAGCAAAAGCATCAGGCTTTATTTTGGCCAGGAGAAGTATGATTCAGTGAATTTAGTGAACGGGAATACATAGGCCTACCAGCCTCAAAAGTCTAGACTCTTTCTTGATCCTCATCTTAAAATAGCCTAATAACACTTGCTAAAACAAATTGATTATCTTCAAGAGTAGTCTCTGTAATACTCCGTCTACATATAACTAGGATTGACTTAAACAAATTTGCTGTCTCCTGTTTAAGCTAATTTCCCACAGATTTTGCCCAGCCCAGTAACTTGGCCTAGCAGGTTGGAGTTTATCTAAAATCATGAGCATCAGACTATTTAGGTGATTTTTATAACACCATTAACAAACTACTGAACAATATTCCGGAGACTAGAATTATTTCCTATCCCAATTCTCACATGGTTGGACACTTGGACTATTGCAGTGAAGCTCTAGAAACGAATATGTAACTCTCGAGCTTGTACTTTTTAAGATCAATCAATGAAATAAACATGGTAAAGACCCAGGGAATTCGAGACTCACTCATCTGACAGTTGGAGAGTAGGATACAATTCATTCAGAGTCTTGATAAACTCAGTCCACAGTGCAAATCCCTCAACTACACAATATCTTCCACTGGCAGAAGGGACTTCAAAGGCTAGAATATGTGCATATGCAACATCTCTAACATCAACCCATCTCATGCGCGCGGTATAGAATGATGCAGCTCCTGCATTTAACACTTAAATCAATATCGTCTCATACGATAATTACTAGAATACTTACTTGTAAAGGTAGAACAGTCAATGAAAGATGAAAGTTGTCAAATTTAGAATTGCAGCCTGCTTTCCCAGGACGAGCGTAGTTTATATGAGGTGTCCTAAATTACCTTGATTAACTTATTCTTGAAAAAAGATGGTAGATATTTAATCATAATGAAAGATCGACGATATTTGTTATAGAATCACTATTTAATCTAAAACAAATTTCTCTACGTACCATTTACTAGGTTCAGGACCATTCCTGCAGTTACACTGGGATAAGGCTGCAAGATGGGACCAATGACCATTCCTGGTATGATTGCAACCATATCAATACCATGCTCCTTTGAGAATTCCCAAGCAGCATTCTCTGCCAAAATCTTTGATAGTGGATACCACAACTGACATGAGCAAAAAGATTTGTTAGCTTCATTTTAAAAACATAATTCTTTAAGTTGGAAAATGCAAAAGCTACGTTTCCAAAGAACTCAAGGAGATCATATTCAATCTTCCCACTTTTTTTTGTATTAGAAGTATACATGGCTTTAGATAAAGTTCTGCAAAAGACTAAGCTTAAGCATCTAGACCAAGTCTACTATCAACTTGGTTTGAGCATTTTTCGGTCAGTTCAGGCGCTATGGTATATTGGTGTGATAGTCGCCACAAGGTGCTTGGAATTTTGGCATGTTAGGGACGACATGGTTGCTGCAGAGTAATCGCCACACTCAGAGATTGTTTTTCCCAATTGGACATAGATATGGCGATTAATTTAGTGGTGTACAAGGCTTTAGGTGATGTATCCTGTCTCAAATTCATCATAATGTTGGCAATTTCTCATTAACAATTCGGCTTTAAGCATTTTGATTGATAGCAGTGTCCTATATCAAATTATTGAAAATTGTAAGACTTACATAAATTCTTTCATCTTACAAATTAACAACATGGTTGTTTTGTTCTCTCTCAACTTTGATTGCTACAAGCCTTTTAATTTTGTTGAAGCTGGCAAATGCTAAGCAGTAGAAAATTTCAGAATTTCTTTGTTGTTTCCTTTTCTATTTAGCAACCTATTCTTTTCGTATTTAAAACATCTTAGGATATTTTACACTTATGGTGTCCTAGATTTATTTTCTTAGTGGCGACGTATCCTGTGGCATCAGTTGGGTTTATTTTGTAAGGAATCAGAGTCAGGAAACACTTAACCGTAAAGCCTTTTGTCAAGTTCACATTAAAAAATGAATTTTTGTAAATACTTGCATTGCTCAAGCCTTTTCAGAAATAATATTATCTTCCATCAATAAATTGAATAAACACTAAACATTTCCTTTGACAAACAGAACAAGGAACCAACATTTTTTGAGACAGTTTATCAGGATATAAAAACAACTGATCATAGACGCACCTTGCGCTCCTCACAGTATGTTGGATCTGCAAACCAACTTTCGTCAACTACAACACCATCCTTCAGTTCCCGATTAGATGTCACTGCTCTCATAGAAGATGTTAAAACCACTCTTTTGATAGATGAAACTCTAGCACAAGATCGCAGCACATTCAGTGTTCCCTTTAGTGCAGGATCCAATTGCTCTATCTGAAGTTAATATAAATGAATTAGATCATTTGAATATCTAAGTAATCTCATAAAAATCCCTTAAGGATCTCAAGATTACGAATTCCAAGAGCTAAATCATTAATGTTTGTTGACATTTCAAAATCTCCAGATTTGTTCATGAGGTAAATATACCTGTGGATTGGTCACGCTCGCTGGATGAAGGAGTGGAGATGCAGTATGAAAAACACCTTCACATCCATCAACTATTACATCAAAGGATCCCTCTTCTAGTAAATTTGCCTGAAACAAGTGGAGTCTTTCCTTGGCTCCATCCAGTGCCATCAAGAATTCTGTCTTTTTTGGATCATCTGCAGCACAAAAAAAAAACTACTTAAGAAATGCCAACTTTTGTGTGATATTAACAAAAACCATTCATTCAAATCCT